CATGTTGTTAGACACTCAGTCTCACCCAGAGATGAAATTTGAAGCTCTCGGATATTGGTAGCGCTAGTGTTTACGACCGTGCGTACGTAGTAATAGATTTCGCCTCTGGAATTTATAGACTTGTTGACTCAGCGAGAATGTCTGTACTCTTGTATTGTTTTGTATGATATTAATTAGTAATATTTATCAGTCATTGATAATAAGAAATACGAGTACGAGTGAATGGCAAAAATAGCCAAATATACTTAGTAAAAATCAAGTCATTTCAGGCTTTCCAATTTTTCTTAAGAAATCTCGTTAAAATCTGCTGCCCCGTCAATTTATCTTCACATAGCTAGTTCCTTTTGTAGTCATATGCAGACATTTGAGAGATAACTGCGGCTCAGTGTTACACCTTCCAGTGTCTATTTCTCTACCCTTTTGTCAGGAAATACAACTCATAAGATAAAGATGAACCATATTTTCCGAGTTAAACCAAGATGCAAAATGTAGTGTACCACTAAGATATTTGACAACGCAACTATTTCCCAAAAAAACCGTGGGCTTAATTGATAAGGATGTTTGGAACGCTTAAAAGTTTTTCTAACCTTTGCAGTGCATATTTGGAGGTTCCGATACGCAGATAAGTACATTCGTAAAGTAGCTCGTTTGCTATTGTGATAAGCCTCCCGTTTACGTGATTGCGACTCCACCTTACATCATATAGTAGGGCCGCAATCACGTATTATACACTTGGAAAATTCGTACGTAGTTTCACCGATTTTTTGGGGATTGAAAAAGATATACTCTCAGCATAGGGCTAACGTACAAAATGACTTTTGCTCTGGTCCAATTATAACTGAGATTGCAAAAAGCAAAAATGCAGTGAAAGATGGTCATATATAATGCATATGTTGTTTTTACTTTACCCTCTCCCTTAAGTCGAAAATTGTTTTATATGTTTGATTTTGAAAGCTATTAAATTAAGTGATTTGCATAATACAGGTCAAAGTCATGTCGTAATACAGGTCACGTACTTCATCAAAATTGTCATTCTTACCAATGGTCGGTATGACCTGTATTTCTGCGCATAAATTTTGAAAAATACGTTCTTTACCCGGATTTATAGTATTAGGAATCAGAATTTGCAGCTATTGCTCAAAAATTTCTACTTAAGGAAGAAGGTGAAAGAAGAAAAAGAACTGCGGCTACAATTCTGAATCTTGATAATTTTGATTTTCACCTGGTCTAACCAAACTAGAAGGGAATCGTTTTCGTGTATGTTAGTGTATTTCAAAAACGTATAAAAAGATTTTAACGATACCTTTTTCCCAACCCTTGTTATCATCACCGGCGATTGAGCATTTGGCGCTGTATTGGAGCGTTGCTTACTATATGCGTTTCGCTAAGGTATAATAAAATCTGATACTTGAATATCATGACTCAGTAAGATTTAAACTATTAATTTATGTTAAGAGGTGAAGTAATTAGTGCAAAGAACGTAAAAAGACAAT